AAACAATTTATTTTTTTTAAAAACTCAGGACAGTGTAAAGTGAGGACTGAACCTTATATTTTGAATTACATTGTAAATTCTAATAATGCTAGAATAACTTTTGAATTACAGCTAAAATGCTTGCAATATAATTAAGATTTCAAGTACACTTAGGCAAAAGGAATACTCTTTGAGCCTATTTACTTTTCTTTTTATTTTTACTGTTACTATTTACTTTTACTAATTTCTATTTTCTAGTTTAAGTATGAGATTTTAAAATTAAAAAGAAATTACACTGATACATTAGAAATAGATCAGCTGTCAGAATTATACATAAATAGGTATATTATTATTAGAATATTAACAATTATATTATTATTATTAATTATTAAATAATGTTATTATTTAAATACTATTGTTAGAATTAGAAGCCAGAATTAAGTGCACAATGAGAATATGTTAATTACATATACTAGTGAAAATATGTACATAAGTATTTCTCACTAATCCTCTTGACTTTAATCTTCATAAAGAGAACTAGTGTTGTCTCATTTTAGAGGTGATAAAACTAAATCTCAAAGTAATATAAAACTGTGAGAAAAAGATTATTATTCTATTATTTTTGTTTATTTATCTTTTGAGATAGTCTCACTTCATGGTCTAACTGGCTTGGAACTCACTTAATAGACCAGATTGGCTTTGAATTTAGAGAGCTGCCTGCCTCTGCCTCCCAAGTGCAGGATTAAAGGAATGCAGCACTAAGCCCTGTCATATACACATATATACACACTAACAATTTTAAAAAATATTACCAGTGAAGAAATCATAATCCAAGAAACTAACAAATCTGACTACCAAATGGATGTCTTCAGAGTCTGTGACCACAAAAGGGATACGAAAAGAATGATAAAGAGTGAAATTGTTCCATGAAATTTTCTTGTTGAAAGAACAAACAAAAGCCAAGAGTCATCAAACTGAAGAGATGTAATTACAACCCAGCTTTTGAATAAAATCACTTACTTCACTTATATAACAAGAAACAAGCATTTAAGCATAAATCACAATAACAGATATGGCTATAACCTATCATCTAAAATCAATACAGCTATCTTAAGAAAAGAAGGCAAATATTTAGATTCAAAGTAGTCCCTGAGGCAGCTTTTCCAAACCATCAGTCATACCCCAGTCTCACAGAGATCTGAAGAGAAACGTAGCTCTTGCAGAGTAAAGCCCAGATTTCTGAAAAAAGCCTTCCACATTAGTCTAAACACTCTGAAGGCCAAGTGCCCTACAACCCAAAGAAGTCACAACAACAGTGCAAGCTATTCAGGGAAGCCACCCAGAGTTCAGATCCAAGTACAGACAGACAGGATCATGGAGAAAGCAGGCAAAACAGATAGGGCTAGTTGCCTCTCCTTCTTCTCTTCCACCATACAAGAAAAGCTTACTCAACTGCAACCAAGAAGACATTCTAAAGATAGCTTTAGATTGCTTCTTTTCAACAAAGTATTATTCTGAACTCAGCACCTTATTATTTACAATCCAGTACACAAACAACAGCCATAAGAACCAGAGTTGGGAACAGTTGACCAGAGCGCTGCTCTCCCATAGAAATCCTACGAGGAAACAGCTAGGGACCATACACCCCCAAACAGCATCGCTATTAATTCTGGAAAAAAGTAAGAGTTCTCATTTTTCCTCCAGACAGATCTATCAAAGCTAGTTCAAGCCAGACCTGGTCAGTCACACCTGAAATTCTAGCACTCAGGAGGCTGAGGCAGGAGAATCAGACTTTAAAGTTGTCATAGCTACATAGCGAACCTGGGCTACATGACACCCTATCTGAAAAACAAAACCAACATCTCTCTCTCTCCCTCTCTCTCTCTCTCTCTCTCTCACACACACACACACACACACACACGTGTGTGTGTAATGTGTACATAAAATTCATAATGTATACATAAAATTCAATATAACCAACTGAGTTCTAACGAGTTCAACAGGAGTATTCAACTAACGTATGTACCACAAGGCAAATCAAAGTGAGGTAAACGCTTTGCAGTAATATTTCACTGTTGTGGGTACAAGGGAAAAAAAAACAGTCCTAAAGTTTTTTACCTGCTGAAAAAGTAACGTTTAAAGTCTTTCCTAGAATAAAAAATACATGGCAGCACCAAGTCATCTCTATTAAGATTACAGACTTAAAAATACAAGCGATTCAGTTAAACACAAATTTCAAATGAATAATTACTTTTGGGTAAATATATTCTCCTTTGCAATATTCAGATCATGTGCTCATAAACACAATTATGCAGAGAACACAGAGAAGACTGAGATCAAAATTATTGAGTCCCTTAAATTGTATTTGAGAAAGAGACCACACAGATACCCCTAGTTATGACTGTGCCCCCTTATCCTTTTCTCCACTCAGTCTCTTTATTATACATCACTAATTTGGATAAGAGCTCTATCTCTTTTTCATGTGTTTCATTTCTGAAATATCTATATTTGTGAGAGGCAGGCGTTTGTTCTAGCTAACCACTCCTGACTTCCAGCTCTACTATTAGAGTGTAAGCTGTCTCAGTTATTCACGTCTATTAGAGGAAAAAAAAAAGGTTTTATCTTGAAATTCACATACAAAAAGCTGGTGACTAGTACGATCACAAAAATACTTTCTTCCTGTACTTCCTGTTATGTGATACCGCAGTCATACTAAAAAGGTGACTAAACCAAACTTTCTAAAATTTAAAGCACATTTCACTAAAGATGAATGTATTAATCATTAGTAACCACAGTACGTGCCACACAGAGTAACTGTGCCCCAACTTTGTTTCTGTTCTTTTTATGAAATAATGAGAAATTTTAAATATGGGCATAAAGTATCTAAGAGTAAATAGAATAGAATCACAAGGATAATAACTTTGCCTGCTACAATTAATCATATCAAAAGGCTAGACTCAAGGCACAGTATTTTTAAAAGGGCAATGAAAAACAGCTTAATGGCTAGCTAGGAAGTCATAATTTGCTAATTTACCAGAACAGTAATTAGAATCATCATATAAAATCCCGTCTACTTGTGGCATTTATATAATTTGGCTTATGAGATTGTGATCTATGACACTTGTACATTATAGGCACCGCCTATTCAGTTACACAGACCGATTTACATATGACATCCGGAGACAAACGCACAAATGGTCTTAAATGCTTGGTAATCAATGAGAACACTTCTCAAGGTTTCAATACCATATTAAAAAAAGACTCTACATTAGTGATAAATTGAGCAAATGCTGTTGCTCTTAACGTTCTATTCCAAACCGAATGGGGATTTTGAAAGCATTTCACAATTTTACTCTGTATGTCTTTATAACTGATAGTGTATCCAGACTCCTTTGAACTACATTTTCCCTAGACATTTCAAATAAGTGAATTACATTTAAATGGCACGATGTATTTGAGATAGTATCATTTAGTGCAAAAGTAGGAAGATATCAACAACAACTTACAGATTTATTTACTTTTGTTGATTTTTTTCCCCCTGACAGTCCTGAGGATAGAACCCAGGCCTTCACAGAAACCAAGCAAGACCACCATCAAGAGCTACAACCCAAACACAAATTTTAAATCCTTGCCATTTCTTTAAAAATTCCCTCCTTTAAGTTTGGGAATCATTTCTCTAACAGCACAAAATGTTTCCTTAGACAAATTTCAATGGTATCACATTTTAAAATCGTAGCCATCTTACAGTATTTTATGTAATAAATGATTTTTTTCTCTTGAGAAAATTTCAAGTATTACATTCATGTACTATATTAATAAAATCCTGTTAAGTACATAGGGCAAAACCTGCTTTATTTAACAAAGCTTGCCAATCTCCAACTTTGATGTGGACTCTCTTTCTGATCACAATGAGTTAATTAAATATTTGAAGCCTTCTTTGTATTTTTAATCTGAACATGAGTTAAATTTACGACTTTACCTGAAAGTTTGGGTTCATTTAAATGAGTAAAGAGAAAGTAGAAATATTTTAAACTACACTTGTTTTCTCATGAAAACCACAGACAAACTGAAATCAAGTGTCATGTGAAACACCCCGGTTTCCTTTAGGGCCTACAGCAGGAGTTATGGCATTGTTCTGCTCAACTCTTAGAGGAGTTCACTTAGCTTTCTACTTCCTCTTCTCGGCTAGACGTCGGCAGCCTTCTCCCAGGGTCACTGGGAAGATTAGGGTCAGCAGCCCATCGGAATAAAGGGGTGGCTTTAATTCCCCCCGGCCAGGAAAGCGCCCACCACCATCTGGGTGGGCTGGACTCACTCGCTGGCTTTGCCTACAGCAGGCTGTCATACTGGGCTCTCTCCCGTGTCCTGCAAACTGTTCCTTACAAACGTTTACATTAAGCGATCACATTTCCACTCGCACCAGTTATTTTAAAGCACAGCCGAAAACTCGTCTCGCCGTCTTGCTGCTAACAAAATGTTCGTGCAGGGTTGGGAGTAGAGGGGGTCGACACGGAGAACTAGACAAGGAACCCCTTCAGCCCGGAGCGGGGGGGAAGCTAGTGTTTTCACTTGGAACGAGTTAAAACGCCACCGAAGACTTTTACAGCCACGCCACATTCTGTACAACTGTCAGCCCGGCACTGATCAGCTACCGGCACGACTAGACTTAAAAAAGAAAGCTCGCCTGAGGTCCGGAGGTTCCTCTTTTTCGGAAAAAGTAAAACGGCGGCGTCTCAGTGCCGGTCTTTAAAGGCGAGATTCCTGTGCCCTCCTTTACCGTGCTTACCCCTCGAATCCTAAACCCACGTCGCTGGGATTTCGAAGGTTCTGGCTGTTCCGAGGAGATCAGATTACAGTGCGCTGCTTTGATTTCGCACGCAAAGCCCCGAAGCAGGTAACTTTTTAAACGGCTGACAATCTGCCAGAGGAGACGACTTGAAAGGCAGAACGTCCCAACCCCGTTCTGAGCCTCCGCCAGACAGCTCCTTCCCGGACCCGCGGGTGCTCGCCCCGGTACTCACCCGAGGCCATGGCTCGGCTCCGCGCGCCGCCCGCCGCAGCTCCTCGCGTCCGGCCAGAGGATGCGAACCCGTCCGTCGGTCCGTCCGTCGGTCCGTCCGTCAGCCAGTCAGCCCGCCAGCCGGCTAGTCAGTCAGGAGGCCGAGCAGCCTCTGCAGCCGGGACCCCAGTCCTCTGACCACCCCCGGGCTTCCTCTTCTTTCCCGGCCCCTCTGGGTTTGCGGCTCACACCTTCCCACCCCAGAATCTTCGCGCTCGGGTCACCCGTGTCCTGGCGTCGCCCTGCCAGGATGCCGCGGCAGGGGCAGGGGGCGGGGCGGACCGCCCGGCGGAAAGGGGATTTCCCGCTGCTTGCGTCACTCGCGCC